AATCTCGATGTGCAGATTTCGTGGCAGGCGCAGCACTTTGTGAATCTCGATGTGCAGATTTCGTGGCAGGCGCAGCACTTTGTGAATCTCGATGTGCAGATTTCGTGGCAGGCGCAGCGCTTTGTGAAGCTCGATGTGCAGATTTCGTGGCAGGTGCAGCACTTTGTGAATCTCGATGTGCAGATTTCGTAGCAGGCACAGCACTTTGTGAATCTCAATGTGCAGATTTCGTGGCAGGCGCAGTACTTTGTGAACCTCGATGTGCAGATTTCATCGCAGGCGCGGTACTTTGTGAACTTCGAAATGCTCCTGTGTACTCGCCTATGTGCTCTCAGATTTGTGCTTGTATGTGCTCTCACATTCGTGCTCTCAGATGTGTGCTCTCATGTGCTCTCATATGTGCTCCCATATGCTCTCATATGTGTAGGGTTTTGAATTTGAAACATGGAACCAAATTACTACTCTAGCATTTTTGGCACTACGTTGGTCGCACTCTCCTCCTTACAAACTCACGCCTGGTCCCTCTGGTCTTTCACATGCTTCCGCATCTGCTGCTCTCATCTGTGCACTCTCACATTTGTGCTCTTGTATGTATCCTCTCATATTTGTGCTCTCATCTGTGTGCTCCTTCTTTCCTATCTGTTCCTCTTTACGCTATTTGGGGTCCCTTGCCGGTGTAATTAGTCTCCATCCAAGACCTCCTCCCAAAACTTCCCCCGATTTCATTCAAACAGCGGCGACGGGTTGCGACCGGTTGCAAACATGAACATCATGTCACGCGATCAAGCCTCTACCAGACCCGAGAGTTAAGCGAAAACCCTTGGCTACGCATTCGGGACAAAACAATCTAGTTTGGGACCATTGTGGAATAGGGGAAAGAAGCGGAACAGTGTGAACATGAGGAACGAATCCCTGGAATTTACAAGTCTTTTGAATGAACAGCTTTCGCTTGGGCCTTCTTCGCCAGGCCACTGAGGGTCCAGTTTCCGGACCTCGACCTGGAGCTTTCAACATGCTGGCCCGAGCCAGATGGGATTCGTGGGCGAAACTGACTCTTCACTGCAAATGTGCACAGATGTGCACAATATCGTATGAGAATGGCAATGCATGTGATTATGTTGGCTGTCTTCCTTGCTTTAGCTGGTACTGCTTCAGCACTTTATAGGCTTGGTTTTGAATCTGATTGCTAATTTGATCTCCTAGTACCTTGCAAGGAAGCGTATGGACAAGGAGGTAGCCGCGAGCCCGGGTTGAATGAGAGGCTTGTTTACAGGTCAGTCTGATGTGAGGTTGTGTTTGACATAACCGGATAGCTGCCGGTGGCCTCGCTCCTTTGGAAGCCTGACATCCTCAGGCCAAGCAAGGCTACTGTGCCCTTGTCGACAAGTTCGCCCCAGGTTGGAGGCCGCAAACGCATGCACATGTGCGCGCGATGTGAGCATTTTGGCTCGCTTTTGTTTTTGAATCTATTTGAGTTGTAGGACCAAAGCCGGCTTGTGAGTGGCGATGCCAATGACACTTACTTGAGCATTCAGGACCTTTCCCAGTAGTGATAACAGAGGTGTGCGTGATCTGCAGGAAAACCATTCGGATCGGCAAAGGTCTTCAGTTCTTTAGCCCAAGCTTTTTTGAAAGAATGGAAAATCGAAGGTTCGTCTCCGAGGTGTGCGAACCGTGCATGTGATGTACAGTGCTTAGCTGTCTAAGGTCAAAGGTCACACAAGTTCGACCGACCAAAGTGTGTAGATCGTTACGCAAGTAGGGCCGTTCCAATCCATCGAACTGGGCATTTTGTGCCCTTTTCGACGTAAAGTTGAGCGGTTTCCCTCCACGAATGTGGACACTTTTGTCTACCTGGGAACGGCCGCGTTGCGCTCCGTGCGCATGCCAGAAAAAGTGACCCCAACATTTTGGATACATGAAACATCAGTAAATTTGTTGTGGGACTTGTGGAAGGCATTGTTGACATCATGTGTCACGATCGATGATCCTCCCCCACACACCACTATTCAGTCCAACAAAAACCAAGCTCTTGATGCATGTGATTCATGTGCTTTGTTTTGATATGGAGAAGGCTTTGTCTTTCGGGTGGTGAGACTGTGCATTTTGAGCCGAAGACCGTGCCCGAGAGTTTAGGTATAAGTACCATCAGGTTACCTATGGTGCTGGATGGTCATTGTTTATGTCACTTGCCCTGATTGTTGCTGTTGTTGTTGCCAGTAACTGGCTCAAATGCCTCGTACACATTGATCAACACTAAATCGGCATGAAGATGGTCTGCCAACAATCTGGGCACCCGCTTAGAAATATGCTTTCAAAAATGCAAAGCCATAGTTACTAGTTACTAGACTTGAGTGACCTTTCTACCAGACTCTACGAGTTAAAGTAACAGTTAAAAATTCAGCTCATCATGTGAAGCGGGGCTTCTCTATGGACGCAGCCGGAGCGGCTGCTGCGGCGGCGTTGTTGTGGTCAGGCCCAGTGGAGGGACCAGGGCTGAGAATGGCACAGCAAATCATTAAGGCCCAGGCTTCTTGGAAGCTCTCCCCTCTCACGCGGGGTAGCTTCCTTGAACAAGCCTGAGCCGTCCTGGCGCCTAAGAAGCTGACTAGTCACATCATGTCACCTGGTCATCGCCGTCGTCTGCGCCCAACACGACACCTGGAGAGAATCAATTTGGGGATCGGTGTAGGCCAGTGTAGGCATCGGAAAGTCTATGTAATTATGAACAGAGAGATGACAGTGAACCCAATTAGATATATGGCATATCATGTTCCGTTGGAAGATTCATCCATGCCATGGGCTCAGTGTGAGACATTCTGCAGGAGATGGGGAGGACTGCAAGCTGTGGCCATGGTTTGCTCGGGCTCAAGTTTGGCTGCTTTAGGTTGGAGGCCATCGCTATTAGGTTGGAGGCCATCGCTAGTAGGTTGGAGGCCATCGCCAGTAGGTTGGAGGCGATTGCTATTAGACACAAAGAACAAATATTGAATCCTGAAGCGATGTGCATTTGTGCAGGATGAAGCTCTGGAGATCGCGGCCGGATCGTGCCGCGGATGGTATGGGTGTTCTGGTGGTGTGTCAAAGTCAAAGCCAACTGTTTCAGACGATGTGGTCGCTGATCCATGTCCTTGCTGCTGCAACTCTACCTTTCAAGCAGTACAGTGCCTTCAATGGGACAGCGCGGGCAACCCGGCCTGCTATTTCGCGACCAGCCGGCCGGCCGGCTGGCCAAGTAGTAGTAGTAGTAGTAGTAGTAGTAGTAGTAGTACTAGTAGTAGTACTAGACTAGTAGTAGTAGTAGTAGTAGTCGTAGTCGGAGGAGTAGTAGTATAGTAGTAGTAGTAGTAGTAGTAGTAGTAGTAGTAGTAGTAGTAGTAGTAGTAGTA